TGCATTGAAATTAGTCACAGTGGGAGTATTCATACTCTGAAAGTCAATGAACACTATAAGTCAGGGCATTTTTCTTCTTGAACTAACTGGTTGTTAAATAATGACAACACTAGCTTGGGCTGCTGGATGGTGAAGTTCACAGAGTGCTGCAGGCCAGGGCTGACCAGCAGGAAACCACTAATTGAGGTACCAGGAAACTTGCTAGCAGATGGGCACTGCACTGTAAGAACAAGAAAGAAACGATACCAGAACCAGGAGAAGTGCCTTCTTTGCTTTGTCCTCCAGTGCCCTTTACTGGCAAAGCCTAACATTGTGCCAGCAGCTGGGAAAGTGGATGGGGAGTAAGGGAGGATGAGAAGTGAAATATCTGATATTTTTTCCAGTGCTAAAAGTTGCAAGGAAAAGGAGTGTGTTTAAAGCAACCCATGGCGGGCCTCCCTGTTGGCGCAGCGTTGAGCGCTGGGTTGCGAAGCTGCCGGCAGCCTCTGCAGTACCGGTTCCATCCCCGGCTGCTCCCCGGCCACTGGAGGAGGGTCCCACATGGCGCGCAGACCTCTCCTGCCACCCGCTGCTCCCCTCAGCAGTGTACTTCGGTCCTTCTGCCTGCTCTGCTCCCCGCTCTGGCTCTGGTGAATTCTCTCACCCTCCCGCGCTTCTGACTGTACCCAGTGCTTGTATAAATAAATAAATAAATAAATCTTTAAATAAATAAATAAATAAAGCAACCCATGGATATCTGGTATTGAGTAAAGGTTATAGTGGGTCAATTTCCTCAGCTGAAAAAAGGTTTTGGGTCTCCTGTTTAACATTTTACCTGTCCCCAAATCACACAGATATAATTTAGGTTAGATGGGTGATATGGATCTTTAATGCCATCACCATTATTTGGGGATGGATAAAGGATTTGTATAGAAATATAATAGACAGCAAAGGCATCATAACGCTACCTTCAGTTAATTAAACTTGAAGTCATGTACAGGCTCTTATTTGTTAAATTCATTCATTTATTAATGTTTGGATGGCAACTCTGGGCTGAAAGTGGTATACTTTTCTATAACTTAGCCCTGTCCTGACAGAAAACACACTTCCAGTTTACTGACCTCAGAAGAGAAATTACCAGAGCAAAGTTTCAGGTCAGGAGGAAAGTACCTACAGTCAGTGAACCCCAGCTGGCTATGCAGGGCAGGGGTTCTGTTGCTGTAGTGGATTAGAGCTATGACCAGAGATTTTTCCACATTGGTATTCTAAGGGCTGCTCCAGTGTGAATTTTCTGATGAACTCCGGGTGGGAATTCCATCTGAAGGTGGAATTCATTAGCAAATGTGCTCAGCAGTGAATTCTCTGATGCAAAGAATCTCTGAGCTGCACCTGAAGACTTCACCACCTGAAGGCATGAAGATCTCCCAGGTCTTTCCCACACTCACTGCACTGCTGGGATTCTCCCCAACTCAGGAGTCAATGGAATAAAATGTGGATGACAGTCCTCTGAAAAAAGTCCCTTCCCTCTCTACTCTCAGACCAGTTTAGAGACTCCCCTGTACAACCAGCAGATAGAATCAGTGTGTTCCTTTTTTGGGTAATCCGCCCAGGAACTGTCTCAGACCTCTGCCACTCCAACACCTCTGCCACCTTCATTTTTAGCAAAAGGCCTCGGATGATCAACTCTGTGGGCCCAGCTTTCATCACTGCCACATCTTTTGAGTCCTTCCAGCACCCTCAGAGGACATTACCTTCTTTCAAAAGGCAACCTGCCTTCTGTATCTTGAGTCTATCCTTTCTCACTGCAAGTAACTTATGTTTGAATAATTACCTGAATTGGTCTTGTTGGCAGTCCAAAAGAAATTGGGCTACAGCAAGGACTCCATAAATATCTGTGGAATACCCGATCGAATCCCATCCTGGAATGTGTAATGCCCTCACAAACTACAAACCTCATCGGACTCGGAGATAAAGCCCAGTCCCCAACCATTGCCCCCAAGACAATGCGCTCTCAGCAGACAAACCATCCTGCATTGGATGGGGCGGGGGAGTGAAGGGGGGTGTAGGGTATGGGAGGGGGTGAGCTACAAACTCTCAAGACCTGCCCACTGGGCCCACCAACCACACACAAACAAGGGGTCCCAGCTTCCTAAAGAAGCCCCACAGGCAGGGGTCGGTTCTTCTCTTCTTGGAACTCTTACCTCACGGTCCAGAAGCAAGGTGGCTGAGATCGAGCGTACTAGGTGACTTTATGTGAACTCAACGGGTGAGGGCAAATTTGGGTGCACCAGTTGAAACCATGGCCTGCAAAGGGTATTACAAACACGTGACAAATTAGTGTTCTCTGCAGCTGTACTACAGGAGAGATTGGCGTCTTGGTGCAAAACCCCTGACTGGACGACGAGGAGCCAATCAGAGGGTTGGAAAGGAGGGAGAGCTTGGGTCTCCACAAACCTTGGGTGGTTTGTGACAGTGGCACCTCCAAGGTGCCTTCTTCATTTTCCAGCTCTCAAAACTTCAGGGAAAGGTGGCGCTGGATGATTCCCTGGGGGATTAGAGCATCGGTGCCTTCCTTCTATCCCACAGAGCTGACTACTACCAGTGTTTCAGCACCGGGCCTAACACAGGTCTTAGAGTGTCCTCGTTCAGCAAGTGGTTGATGAGCTGCATTACTGAGGGCCCCTCCCTCTTCAGGTTATCTCCAGAATCATCCCAGTACTGTCCCTTCCCTCTGGTTTCTACTGAGACTCTAGCTCCCATCTATTTTCAGGGGTTCAGGCAGGCCATTTTGGGATAGCTTTATCCCAAAATCTCAGGGATGTTGTGAGGCTATTGTGTATTACTTGGTAATATCTGAATGTTTTTTGCTTTTAAGAATGTGTAAAGGTTTACAGGGTCCAAAAATGGTTCACAAGTTCCCAGAAATTGCATGCACATTTTTTTCTAGCAGTTTTCCTGACTCTCAAAGATCCCTTACCTAATAACTTTAGGAACCTGCCTCAGACCAGGAGTCATTTAGCAAAACAAGTAAAAGTGGAACTTAACACCACCAGCCCCAAAATCTCAGTAGCAAGATGATTAAAAAAAAACAGAACCGACCATGCAGATGATCCAGAATAAACTTACATCAAGTTAATCATAAAGACATGTATATCATACTGTGTATAAAATATATGTTTAAATACACTTGTTATGAAAGACTGAATGACAAAGGATTGCCAAAGCAAGCAGATGATCAAGGACAGTGTAAACAGCTTATGCAAAACTAGAAGCAGAGGAACACAGCACATGGGGTACTTAAGAGTGAAACTCACAAGATGAGGATGAAACTGTCAAACACAATCCTATTAAGACCACAGTGAAACTATGAACCTTGTAATAATAGAAAGGCATCAAATCAGTAAAATTGTAAAGAAATACTTTATTTACTAAAGTGTTAGTATAACAGTAAAACTGTTTAATTAGGGGAGGATAAAAAATGTACATGGACATAGCTTTAAAATTTCTGAATTATTTCTGGGTATATGGGTAGGCCTTTGAGATCATGAGGGCAGGTTTTTCTAATGGGCATGAAATTAAGGAAATTCAGCTTTTCCTTGATTGTATTCTATGACTAGCAATCATAATTATGGCCAGATTTTGAGTCCCAAGTAAACTGAAAGAGGTTGGGGACAAACAAGGAAAAGAGAGAAATCTCCCTGAGGTAACAAGGTGAGAGGGTGAAGAGGCCAGGCAGTGAGGTTGCAGGAGAGTGCATAGTGGGTATAACCAGGTGAACATAATTTTATTCATCATTTCTTTGGGAAAAGCACTACGTTGCATCTTTCTTCTTGTAATGAGATGCGAGACCTCTCACTCATCAAGAATATGCTCAGGTACAAGTTGGTCACAATTGCTTTCTGCGGGGACTGCTAACTGAAGCGTCATTTTTTTCTGCTGAGCAGTGGGTTCAGAAGGAAACTAAGCTGTTGGCAGCAAAGATTGGATATATGGGAAGGGTGCTGATGTGACTGAGTCCAGAGTGGGAGGAAGACAATAAAACCAGTGGCAGTTTGTCCAAGAAGGGACTTCTGAGAACAAAATATATCTGATAGGATTGAAACCTCCTTCTCCACCTCGACTACAGCATCTTGAGTGAAGTCCGTATTACTCTTGGATATTTGTGAAGGGGAGCTGTAGGTGCCGAGTACGGTCTAAATCAATCAGGACTGACAAGGGGTGAATGTGGAAATAAAATATTGGAACACAGGAATCAGAAGTTAAAGGGATAGGTGACATCCAGGTTTCATGTGACGTACAGTGTGGGTAAAATTGAATTTGAACGTGAGCAGTGAATATAGGAATATGAGCATATTGAATTTATAATCACCCTAATGAAATGGGTAAGTAGAACTCCTGCCTCGAGTTTGACTGTTAGAGTTAGAAGTACCTGCAAGGATATGGAAATCATGCAATCAGCTGTTTATTTGCACAGCCCTTTTCTCAAGATGAGTCTGAATCTGAGGGAACACATAATGAGGCACAGAATAAACCCACCATGTAGGTTTTGTGATGATCTATGTTGTCAAGGACATGATTTAAATCCATTATATTCAAATTCATATAATAGTAATTTTTTAAATATGCAAAGAACTTCAAATAAGGCAGTAATGAATCCACTCATCCACAGCACAGCATAGTGGTTAGGAACACAGACCAAGCTGGGTGTGATCATTGTTATTTAACATCCCCCCTGACCCTCATCATCTTTTAAATTGGTGTAGAAATAGCCCACATCACAGATGGTTGTGCAACTCTGTAACTAAAGAGCATTTAACTAAACACTTAAAACAGGTGACTGGGATGCAAATTATACCTTAATAAATGCTTTTTTTTTAAGAGTACCCACATCATAGAGATGCTGTAAAAATAAAACTGTAAACTGTCTGGCACTGTGCCTATACAATAAACACTTAATAAATACTAGTGATTAGTATTAGTGTAATCAAAAGATTAAAGAACACTGAAGATAGTGTTTTTTTTTTTTTTTTTTTTTTTTTAAGAATTAAGGAATTGCTGAGCTGGCTGAAACTGCAGAGATGATTTAATTCAACTCCCCTCATTTTACAGATGAGAAAGCTAGGAACCAGCATATGAAGTACCTTAGCAAGGTCTGCTCTGTCCCTATTAGTACAATTCCCACTACTACCCCCACTTGCCTCAGAAATATGGATGTAAAAAATTAAGGATGTTTCCCCCAAAAAGAAATAACACATAGGAGAACACATAAAACTCATGTAGAGATGTTGAAGAGACAAGGGCAAAGTGAGAGAGGCCTCCTCGCCTATCAGCCAGTGTTCCTGGCAGCGGAGTCCAAGTCATGAGTTAAGTGCTTTGGCAAGGCAAGGCCCTCATCAGTCAGATGAACAGGCTCATCACTGTGGCAGGTGCCTGGTGACAGGGAAGCTGCAGTCTTTTCTGCTGCTTCCTGACACAGGATCTGTCAGCAGCAACAACAGCTGTGGTCTAAAGTGAATGCAGCAGAGTTCTTGGGTGCAGTCAGTCTGGGCAGCCCTAAGTGGGGAACAGCTGCTAAGTTGCTGCTTCTACCCATGCTGAGTAGTCTGGCCTTACCGTTTTATCCCCTGGCCTCGCCTAGCCAGCCCCTGTTGATTCTAAGGGCCTTTGCTTACAATGCTATAAATTGTCTGGCAGTTTCCTCTACTATGACACCCTTTTCAGATGAGGAACCCTAGCAGATGTGAAATGACCCAAGTTTCCCACGTCTTCATTAATGCTAGCATCTTGTAAAGGAACTGGATAGCATGTTGGGAAAATTCTGAAAACTAATAAAAGCTTACTAAATTATTCTCATGCTAAACAGTGGACAGGAGCATGAGTTGGATCTTCTAGCCCACCAGTTCCTGACATTTCAGAGGGAAACAATGAATCGATTCTGTCATTCTTAGATTATGGCAGTGGCATCCCATTCCTCCCTCTTTCCTGAGGAGTTAAACAACTCAGGCTGGATCGATGGCATAGACCCTAACATGTGAGCCACTAGAGGAAGAGGGAAGAGAGAAAAGTAAAAGGGGGCAGAAGAGAATTAAGGCCTGAAACAGCTTTTATGATTTAACTCAGTACATTGACACTTTTCAAGGAATAGTTCATAAAAGTGCCTCACCCTTTTTGATCGTTTTTAAATAAAAATCAAGACAGAGAAGATGTGTCCATTCATTTGATCTGAAGACTTGGGGTGCAGTTATGAACAATAAGTCTGACTTAGCTTTTCCAGAGAAAGCTTTCCTATTTTGCAGATTATTCCATACAGTGAACACTTTGATGCCGGAGGAGATGTGAGCTCCTACTAAAAGTCTTCTGACACTCTTGGCACTCATAAGGCTTCTCTCCAGTGTGAATTCTCTGGTGTATGATAAGCTGGGAGTGCTGGCTGAATGTTTTTTCACACTCATTACACTCATAAGGTTTCTCTCCAATATGAATCTTCTGGTGGAGAAGTAGCTCAGAGTTATCCCAAAAGGTTCTCGCACATTCATTACACTGATGAGGTTTCTCTCCAGTATGAATTCTTTGGTGGACAATAAGGTGAGAGGTTCGCCTAAAAGCCTTTCCACACTCAAAGCATTCATAAGGTTTCTCTCCAGTGTGAATTCTTTCATGTCTAAGAAGTTCTGAGTTCCCTCTAAAGGCCTTCCCACATTCCTTACATACATAGGGCTTCTCACCCGTATGAATTCTAATGTGTCTAATAATCTCTGAGTTCTGACCAAAAGTTTTCCCACACTCATTACATTCATAGGGTTTATCCCCTGTATGAATTCTTTGATGCCGGATAAGCTCAGAACTCTGACCAAAGCCTTTCCCACATTCATTACACAGATACGGTTTTTCTCCAGTATGAATTTTCTGATGTCTGATAAGGCCTGAGCTATGTTTGAAGGCTTTGCCACACTCGTTGCATTCATGGTATCTTTCTTCAGTATGTATTCTCTGATGCTGAATAAGCTGTGAGCTAACCCTAAAGGTCTTCCCACATTCATTACATTCATATGGTTTCTCTCCAGTGTGGATTCTCTGGTGTAGAATAAGGGCTGAATTCTGACTGAAGGCTTTACCACATTCCTCACATTTATAAGGTCTCTCTCCAGTATGGATTCTATGGTGGTGAATAAGGTGGGAACTCTGAATGAAGGCCTTTCCACATTCATTACAAGCAAAAGGTTTCTCTCCAGCATGAATTCTCAAGTGCCTTCGAAGGCTTGAGTTAGTTCCAAATGTTTTTCCGCATTCTTTGCATTCAAAGGGTTTTTCGCCACTATGAACTCGCATATGCTGGATAAGATGTGAGTTCTGATTAAAGGCTTTCCCACATTCTTTACACGTATGAGGCTTTTCTCCCACAGAACTTTTCTGTGTTTTGTTAGGTTCTAAATTCTCTATGAAATTTTGACCAGAGGTAGCAAATGTACTAACTGCCTCTGCGATAGTATCTCCCTGATGTGTGATCAGATTCGGGCTGGGAGTGCAGACTCTCCCACTCTCACTATTCTCCTGGTTTTTCTCACCTGAGGGTGATTTTTTAAAGATAATCAACCCTGATGCAAAGTCTCTTTCCTGTGGAGACATCTGCTCCATAATCTCTTCTGTGGAATCTCTTGAATGCCCCTCCAACATGTCTTCAAACTCGTGACCCTGGTAAACCTCCTTTGGAAGTTTTTCTAATATTGCCCCACGTGGTTCAGATTCTTCAAAAAGTTCTTCCTTGGGAATTACCTCCTTGTTCTCAGTTCCCATCTCACAATCTGAAATGAGAGAGGGTAAGTACGTGAAGTGGCCATATCATATTTAAATGAAGTTAATGCTAGAGGAGTAAGGAGCTTTGACATGGTCCTGACAGCACTCAAATATAGTCCTGGTATCTGATGAAATGACAGACACTGTCGAAGAGACAAAAAAGATTTAGGATTACAGTGGACATGCTAGATATCAGATGTTGACTGAAAAGAATGAGAAAAGTTACCAGAGAGGGAAATGGATTGTAAGGAAATGCTGATAAAAGTTCCAAAATACTAACAGTAGTTGTGGTGGAAGATTGGTAAGGAAAACATTTAGGGAAAATGGTGTCCATATTGACAGGGATATGGAAAAGATTAAGAGATGAGGGCCTCCCTGGTGGCACAGCGGGTTGAGCACAGTGCTGTGAAGCTGCCTGCAGCCTCTGCAGTGCCAGTTTGTTCCTGGCCGGCCAGGGAGCTACCCACATGGCGCGGCAGATCTCTCCTGACTCTGACTCGCCCGCTGCTCCCCTCAGCAGTGTTTTCAGTTCATTTGCTTGTTCTGCTCCCCATTCTGTCTCTGGTGAATCCTCTGCCTCTGGCCTGTACCCCAGCTATGGTACAAATAAAAAACAAATCTTTTAAAAAAAAAAGAGAGAGATGAGGAAAATTACAAATTAAGTGAAATAACTGTTGGATTAGAGAGGAAGTAATCACTAAGTGAACCAGCAAGAGGAACTATCCTTAGTCCAGTCCTGTGGTACTCAACAGCTCTGAAGATCAGAGTATTACATAGGGGTTACTCCTGCAAAATATTAACATGTGCCATTAGTTAACTACAATGAGCACAGAATTAATTACTTTTGTCTCACATTTGGATGAAGTAAGTTTCTAGTTTAATTTGCCACATGGTTAGTAAACTGCATCAACACCTACTTTTCCATACAGATTTGAAATGCCAGCTATACCACAGTCAAATGTCCACATATATTTGGGTCAGTTTCCTGACTGCATTCAGTCCTATATACCTGTCATTTCCAACTCTAATTTGAAATTGCTTAACCTACTGTATTTATTAAAATTTTATAAAATATTAAGAAAATTTCTCTCATTAGTCTTTTTCCTCAAATATTTCCTTCCATTCTCATATTTTTCCAAATAAATTTTAGTATTATTTTATAAAATTTCCTAACTTCTTGTGATTTTTTTTGCATGCAGTCTTCTTGATTTTTACATATTAATTCTAATTAATTCTGTAATTAGAATTAATATGTAAATGTTTTACAAGTTTTTTTCCCTTTTTTTCTTTTCTTTTTTTTTTAAAGATTTATTTATTTATTTATTTATACAAGCACTGAGTACAGCTAGAAGCGCAGGAGGGTGAGAGAATTCGCCAGAGCGGGGAGCAGAGCAGGCAGAAGAACCGAAGTACACTGCTGAGAGGAGCAGCAGGCGGCAGGAGAGGTCTGCACGCCATGCAGGACCCTCCTCCAGTGGCCGGGGAGCAGCCGGGGATCAAACTGGCGCTGCAGAGGCTGTGGGCAGCTTTACAACCCAGCGCTCAACCGGGGAGGCCTCTTTTTTTTCTTTTTTCTTTTTTACTTTTTAAAATTTTTAAATTTTATTTAATTTTTTTTTACAATGTTTTCTTAATACTATGACCCTTTTTTAAAACTTCTAAAAGGATGTGGCACAGATTTTTAATTATCTGCCCCCAATATCCATTCTTCCCCACCTCATCAGCTATAGAATAATGAATTTATTCTGTGTAGTGATGAGCCTAACTAGAGAAATATATTCCTCAGCTTTCTTTACAGAGCTAGGCTTGATCATGTGACCAACTTCTGGCATATGAGACAGTACAATGCAAATGTACTGTCCCAAATGTACTTCCCAAATATGAGAAGTTCCCTTAAAGGTGAAGGGATACATTTCTTCCCATCTTCTTCCATGCTGGGCCTGGCACATGAAGTGATAGCTGGAATACCAGGGGCACACCTGATAACTGAGGCCCAGAGCTGGAAGGATCCCGGCTCCCTGATGACACCATAGAGCTGCAATACCGGCCTTGAACTTGCCTGCCTATGGACTTCTTTCATCTAGGAGAAGTAAGCTTTTGCCTTGCTAAGTCCTCCACCCTTCTTAAAATGTATTTATGAAGACAAGCCTATTGCTAAGAGAATGAGCCTGGTCTCTGTTCAGGTAGTAAGCAACCTGAAGCTAATACTGAAATGGCCCTTTGCCTAGGGCAGTGCATTTGTGCATGACAGAAAATGTGAAAAATATAAACCGCCCAACAGTTAAGTTTTCACTATGGAAGGTGATTCTCCAGTGGAAATAAGCAGCTATAGGACTTCATCCTGGAATGGTTTTTAAGCCAAAGAGTGATATGTCCCATAGTCAAATAAGCATTTCAGATAGATGCACACTAGTTCCCATTTGGTGGCTGAACTAGAAAGCAGTAGGCCTGGACAGGCAAGGGGTGAACTAGGGCAACAGTAGTGGAATGAAGAGGAGACAAACTACAGAAATATTCCAGGGATCAAATTATGTAAGTTGGTGTGTGACTGGATATAGGTTGTAAGGAAGAGGAAGTTGTGAAAGATGGGTGACCAGAATTCCCTTTATTTTGGAATGTAATTAGGTGAATAGCTGTATCACCTAGGATGGAAAGACTTGAAGCAGCAGCTAGTTTGGGGGGTTAGGGGAGGAAGGGGAGAATGATTAACTGAGCTGTGTTTGGCAGAAAAATTGCAAGATCCCTACGTAGAAGTCTCAAGGAATCAGTCAAAACACATTCATCTAAATGTTAGAGCAGTCGGGACTAGCGATACAGATGTGAGTACTCAGCATAAATGATAATGTACATAGTGTAGCAGCTGTCAGATTGAGGACAGAAACCTAGAAAGCCAAAGATAACATTTGAAAGTATACTCCAGGGGGCCTCCCGGTGGCGCAGCGGTTGAGCGCTGGGTTGCGAAGCTGCCCACAGCCTCTACAGTGCCGGTTCAATCCCCGGCTGCTCCTCGGCCACCAGAGGAGGGTCCCACATGGCGCGCAGACCTCTCCTGCCGCCCGCTGCTCCCCTCAGCAGTGTGCTTTGGTCCTTCTGCCTGCTCTGCTCCCCACTCTGGCTCTGGTGAATTCTCTCACCCTCCCGCGCTTCTGACTGTACCCAGTGCTTGTATGTATAAATAAATAAATAAATCTTTTTTTAAAAAAAAAAGCATACTCCAGGGCCTCCCTGGTGGTGCAAGGGGTCAAGTCTCAGCACTATGAAGCTACCCGTAGCCACTGCAGCACAAGTTTGATCCCTGGTCAGGGAGCTGGCCCACATGGCACAGCAGACCTCTCCTGTCTCGCCTACTGCTCCCCTCAGCAGTATATTTCAGTCAGTCCACCTGTTCTGCTCCCCACTCTGTCTCTGGTGAATCCTTTCACCATCTCCCCACCTCTGGCCTACACACCAGCTCTTGTATGCATAAATAAAAAATAAATCTTTAACAAGAATAAAATAGAAGTATACTCCAATTATCTTCCATTTTCCACCTCCCTGCTCCACCAGCCGATCTTTCCACCTTTCTCCACCCTACTGTCTGCCCCAAAACCCATAGATCCTCAGGCTTCCATGTGTGTTCCATCAATGGAAAGTCTCAGCAGGGCTCCAAGTAGGAAGAAAAGTAAGGTTACAGTATCTATTTTCCTGCTGCTTCCTGTGAGATCACTTTTGGCTGGTGGTGTCCATTACTCCCCTCAAAGAGTCTCTCCTACCCAATCGTATCACTGTCTGGGTTCCAGTAACCTTTCCTACTTCTTATTTTTTCAGGTCTGGGGCTGGTGATCACTGTTGCCAGCCCCAGGTACCGCTATAGCCTGCCCACGCCTGTATCGTCTATAATTAGCCTCTTTACAAATAAACCTTCCTCAAACTATTCTAATTTCAGTGAGTTGTTTCCTGTTCAGATCCTAATAATGAAAGGATGAAGAGAAGCCTGCCAAGAAGAGAAAGAATAATGAAGCAGAAGAATCAGAAGACTAGGTCACAGAAGCCACCAGAGCAATGGCAGTGGGAACGAGAAGGTGTTACATACAATTGAGAGATCCGGTGGGATAAGAACGAGATAATGTATAATGGGTCAACAGGTGGTCATAGAGGACCTATGAAAATAGGTTCAGTGGGATGGAAGAAGCAGGAGCCAGGTGACAGTGAACTAATCAATGAATTTGCTCCTTTCAAAAACTTTAGATGCAGCGTCAAAGAAGGATTTTATCTGATGGGAGCGATTTGAACGCGTTTATTTAGAAGAGCTGGTGCCAGTAGAAAGACTGGGATAATGGGGGAAGGGAGGGAAATGAGATGACTGAAAAACAAATGAACACCCTGAAAAGCAGGAGACTGAGGTCAAGTACTGAGGGAAAGGGAAAGTGGTGATTTGGAGGTGACTTCTATAGCTCTTTTTTCTCTCTACTGCCCAGCCTCCAGTCACCCACGGGCTGGTGGTTACTGCCACCGTGCTATCCTACAGCCTCTCCAGTCACTCATGGGCACAGCCCTGGTCACCTCCCTCCCAACACCTGGAAGGAACCTGATCTCCTACTGGACCTGAAGTCTTAGACACTCTTTGTGCTACTCCTCAAAATGACCTGGAATCTTCTTCAACTTTTTCCCTTAGCATCTTCCCTAATTTTCCCATGGAGTAAGGGTAGGCACTCCAAAGCTGAGTTTTTCTTTTTTGTTGACATTTTTTCAAATCATAGATGTGTATCTACATAATTGTAAGCCCCCAATTGTAAAGAATTTAGCTATCTTCTTTATGGTACCATCCGAGCTGGGAAGTACTATCTTAAATAAACTTCCAATACTCATCCAAGAAGTTCCACAGGCTGGATTTTCAGTCTCTATTTCTAGCTCCAATCTGGTTCTTCCTTTTCACTCTCATCTTTCCCATAGTTACCTCTTTTCCATCATCCAGCTTTTTATAAAGTCATGTTCATAGAACCAACATCTATACCATGGCATAGGGAAA